TTACCTGATCAATAGGAGTCCATCAGTTCTGTTGGCGTTTGACATCCCAGAGAGAGTTTGGACCAACAATGAGGTGTCCTACTCGCATCTGAAGGTGTTCGGTTGCAGAGCTTTTGCACATGTACGAAAAGAGCAGAGAACAAAGCTGGATGATAAATCTGTTCCCTACATATTTATTGGATATGGAGATGAAGATTTCGGGTACAGATTGTGGGCTCCTGTAAAGAAGAAGGTCATTAGAAGCAGAGATGTAGTCTTCCGAGAAAGTAAAGTTGGAACTGCTGCCGATATGTTAGAAAAGGCGAAGAATGGTATAATTTCTAACCTTTTTACTATTCCTTCTACTTCTGACAATCCCACAAATGCAGAAAGTACGACCGACGAGGTTGCCGAGCAGGGGGAGAAACTTGGTGAGGTTATTGAGCAGGGGGAGCAACTTGATGAAGGTGTCGAGGAAGTGGAGCACCCCACTCAGGGAGAAGAACAACCTCAACCTCTGAGGAGATCAGAGAGGCCAAGGGTAGAGTCATGCAGGTACCCTTCCACAGAGTATGTCCTCATCAGTGATGAGGGGGAGCCAGAAAGTCTTAAGGAGGTGTTGTCCCATTCAGAAAAGAACCAGTGGATGAAAGCTATGCAAGAAGAGATGGAATCTCTACAGAAAAATGGCACATACAAGCTGGTTGAACTTCCAAAGGGTAAAAGACCACTCAAATGCAAATGGGTCTTTAAACTCAAGAAAGATGGAAATGGCAAGTTGGTCAGATACAAAGCTCGATTGGTGGCTAAAGGCTTCGAATAAAAGAAAGGTATTGATTTTGACAAAATTGTCTCATCTGTTGTCAAAATGACTTCTATTCGAACAATGTTGAGCTTAGCAGCTAGCGTAGATCTTGAAGTGGAGCAGTTGGATGTGAAAACTGCATTTCTTCATGGAGATTTGGAAGAGGAGATTTATATAGAGCAGATAAAAGGATTTGAAGTAGCTGTAAAGAAACACATGGTGTGCAAATTGAATAAGAGTCTTTATGTATTGAAGTAGGCACCAAGGCAGTGGTACATGAAGTTTGACTCATTCATGAAAAGTCAAACATACCTAAAGACCTATTCTGATCCATGTGTATACTTCAAAAGATTTTCTGAGAATAACTTTATTATATTGTTGTTGTATGTGGATGACAAAGTTGAAGGGAGATTTGTCCAAGTCATTTGATATGAAGGACTTGGGCCCAGCACAACAAATTCTAGGGATGAAGATAGTTCGAGAGAGAACAAGTAGAAAGTTGTGGCTATCTTAGGAGAAGTACATTGAACGAGTACTAGAACGCTTCAATATGAAAAATGCTAAGCCAGTCAGCACACCTCTTGCTAGTCATCTAAAGTTGAGCAAAAGGATGTGTCCTACAACAGTGGAAGAGAAAGGGAACATGGCTAGAGTTCCTTATTCTTCAGTAGTCGGAAGCTTGATGCATGCAATGGTATGTACTAGACCTAATATTGCTCAAGCAGTTGGTGTTGTCAGCAGGTTTCTTGAAAATCCTGGAAAGGAACATTGAGAAGCAGTCAAGTGGATACTCAGGTACCTGAGAGGTACCACGGGAGATTGTTTGTGATTTGGAGGATCTGATCCAATCTTGAAGGCTATACATATGTTGATATGGCAGGTGACATTGACAACAGAAAATCCACTACTGGATATTTGTTTACAATTTTAGGGGGAACTATCTCATGGCAGTCTAAGTTGCAGAAGTGTGTTGCACTTTCAACAACTGAAGCAGAGTACATTGCCGCTACAGAAACTGGCAAGGAGATGATATGGCTTAAACGGTTCCTTCAAGAACTTGGATTGCATCAGATAGAGTATGTCATCTATTGTGACAATCAAAGTGTAATAGACCTTAGCAAGAACTCTATGTACCATGCAAGGACCAAACACATTGATGTGAGATATCATTGGATTCGAGAAATGGTAGATGATGAATCTCTAAAAGTCTTGAAGATTTCTACAAGTGAGAATCCCGCAGATATGCTGACCAAGGTGGTACCAAGGAACAAGTTCGAGCTATGCAAAGAACTTGTCGGCATGCACTCAAACTAGAAGACAGTGCTACCTCCTCTAGATGAATGAGACTGGAGGGGGAGATTGATGATGTCCATCTCATTGAAGAAGTATTAGGCATATGCCTAATAAAAGTTTCTTTAGTGTGGTAGCCAACCTTGTTGACTTGGTTTGGTTAGGTAGCCAACCTTGTTGAATTAGTTTGGTTTGGTAGCCAACCTTGTTGAATTAGTTTGGTTTGGTAGCCAACCTTGATGAATTTCTTTGGTTTGGTAGCCAACTTTGTTGAATTGTGAAAAGTGTGTGTAAATTGTCAAATATTGTAGGCTTTAGAGAGGGAAGCTTTAGCTATAAAAGGAGAGCTTCAACTCTCATTTCTTCACACCAACAAAGAGAGAAGGAAAGAGTGAGGTTTCATAGATAGGGTATAAGAAAATAGTCTATGAGGAAAATAGAGTGTGAGCGATATTGTAGTGAGGTGAGAATATCAAAAGAAAGGTTATTTCTTTTGAGTGTTTTAGTAGTCTTTGGAGTATTTTACTCGGACCTACAAAGTGTAAAATTTCTTACTATAGTGGTATCAGTTGCTCCTCTCGGGGCCGTGGTTTTTTCCCTTATTAAAAGGGTTTTCCACGTAAAAATCTTGATGTTGTTGTTACTCTTTTATTCTTGTTAATTACCGTATCTCGGTGCTACATTATTATTCCGCTTTTATTACCGTGAATATTATTTCTGTGGGGGTTTATTCCTAACAGAGTCAAACTTATGCGGGTTAAGACAGACCATGATTCAATTATTTCAATTTCGTTTGGGCCAAATTGGTCAACGGGTCATAACTCATAACCCAACCCTCTATGTGAACCAACCTCCTCTCATTTTTTATTTTGCTTATTGATAAAACAAAATGTGAAAGTTAATGCTTCTTTCTGAAATCCTTAGCTTAAATTCTTCAAATTTTACATTGTCTTCAATCTGTCAATTTAATTTTGTACGTTTGAATTTTGGTTGTATTCTGACCTATTGGTTACACTATGATTTGTGTTGATCCAATAGCTTAATGGATCATTTCGAGTTCAATGCATCGGATCAATAGTCAACAATATAGTCATAACTCAACCCATTTAAATTTAGTTTAGTTGCACATATTACTAAAGTATGAGTTGATTTTGCCACCTCTAATCTTCAGCTAACATGCCAAAAGTTAACTCTCAAATGATATGATTATATATTATTAACTTTACTCTTATTTTGTAGACATGGCTAGTAGGGGATGGATTGAGTGAAGAACAACAATTGAAGGCACCAAAAGGAACATTGTTCATTCCATTCTCACAATTCCCACCAAGGAAAGCTCGCAAAGATTGCTTCTACTTCCACACCCCGGCCATGATCGCTTCCAAGCATCTTGAAAATGTTGACTCTTGTGAGGTTGGAAATAGTTTAAACTTGATCTCTCCCTTATTTTTTATTTTTGAAAACAATAGTATCTGGGTTAGCATGAGCACACCTCGACTATTCCACCAGTTATTTACCATCTCCCACCAGCGCATATATCGTCAACTCTGCCCATCAAGGGCAGAGGAGGAGCTAGGATTTCAAGCTTGTGGGTTCGGAATTCTAAGCATTTTATGTTACTGGGTTCTAAATTATTAAATTGTAAATAATCAATGAATTGTTCAAGACAAATACAAGGTTTGAATCAAAGTTACTAGGTTCACTGAACCCGTAACCAGAACATTGGCTCCGCCCTTGACCAAGGGCACTTAAACAGATGAGAAGAAAATCACCTAGCGTATTTTGGTAGTCCTCTTTATTGTTGTTCAATATTTGCATACTTATTCTAATATATCAATATTTGTGTTCCATATTTATTGTAACGCTAGAATTGGCTTCCGAGAAGAGTTATGAGTGCATGGAGAATAGCTGGGATTTTACATGCATTGGAAGGATGGAGTGAGCACGAGTGTGGGGACAAGATGTTTGATATTGAGAAAGCGTATAAAGCCAGTCTTGATCATGGTTTTCGCCCATTAACCTTGACTTCTGCCACTGAATCAATGGCTTAAATCGTTTTCCGATCCTTGGTATAATTGACCAGTTGTTATTTACAAGTTATTAGTAACATGTAAGACTTTTTAGTTTAATTTGTTTGGATTTTAACACTTGTTATTTAACCTCTATTAATTCTGGTTCTGCTAGCTCGGGTTACAATCTTATAACATTATAAGGATGCTATATATCAGTGAATCCATTTCTTTATAGTTGAGGTATGTATTTGCTTGTTCTTCGAACGCATTCGGCTATCTATAATGAAATTTTATCTTAATGTTTCTTAGTTACATGATTGTCAAGTCTTTTTTCGTGAAAGAAAATTTTATTCATCATCACTCGAAAAAAAAACTTACAAAACCAGAACAAAACTTGCAAATTTTTCGTTTGCTAACTCCCCTGGAAATCCCTACCAGGTAGATCTGCCCAGGTAGTAGCTACAAGAATCTCTAAATCTATTTTTCTAATTTGTTCTATAAACCTATATGTACAAGTTCTATATCCATCCTATTTCTTTTCTACGGTGTCTGTTGTGCATTCTCATTTCAAACCTACATACTTTGGAAGGCCATGGTACTTTGTGCTTCATTCCTGGCTCTTCAAATCCCATATACTATGGCTACCAGAACTGATATCACAAAGGCTCTAATTATTTTCCCCTTGATTTCCCTACTGATTTTCTTCCATATACCATGTATTCAATTTGTCTCAGCCTTATTTCCAACCACTGAAGTATTTGCCTCAATGCATGTTCTGAAAAAATGGCATACAAAGAGTAAGTGCTCCAGTGGTTCATCTTGTATGCCACATAATAGACATGCTTTCTCTTGGCAAATGCCAAACATATTTAGCCTATCTAATGTGAGAAATCTTTGTCGAATGACTAACTGTTAGACCCCTGACAAAGCTGATCGGCAAGCGGCACGGCAGTGGCGAGGATTTGGCATGATGGCCTTGCCATTGGCCTATGTGCGAGGGAAAATCAACATGCAAGACAATGCGGGGGTGTTGTCAATGGCAACAAACTGTTGCTAAGCAAGTGAGACGGACTACACTTGTATTTGAGGGCTAAGGTGCGACGGACTACACCAAAGCAAAAGGGGGCTGCGTACAAGCAAGGCCAAGACCTTGACGGAACTAGGCGGGCTGGATGGGAGCTTGACAAGCCAAAACGGGAAAGACCTCGGCGCTAAAGTGAGGCAGCTTAGTGCCAAGGCAGTGGCATTGGCAATGTGATGTTGCCATGACTTAGGTGAGCGGGCTGGCACCTAAGTTAATTGTGGGCAAACGACTTGGCAAAGGGAAGGGCATCAAGGCTTGGTGACTTGATGCTAAAATCAGCATTGACAATGGGCAGACTTGATCAAGTAGGGGCGACTTGACAAGAACAATCAACTGTGGCAGCGGATTGGCGTGCGGCTAAGTCAAGGGTGACGAGCTGTGGCGATGGCATTGAGCGGGAGCAGTGTCAAAGGCTAAGGCTGGGCGCAAAGTCAGCCTTAGACGTGCAGCAGCTGGCCAAGAAACACGCACATGCAGTGCACATGAAGTGGTTTTCAAGTGTGCTGTGCACATGCCAAGCAGTTGGTGGTTACAACTACCCATGTCCAAGAGTTGCTGATTATAGGCTGAGTCTTTGCACGTTTTTGGGGGCATGTTAGAGACATGTTCCCCACGTTTTGATCATGGGGATCACTTCCTATCAGTTGGGGGATGTCAACTGAACATAGGGAACACTTTGGGCTGACTACACTATATATATGTGTGTTAGCAGCCTTAAAAACGGGCTAAGTACCTAGGGAGGGAAATGTCTGAAAGATAGACATAGGGTTGTCTATTTTGTGGCTTGAGCATGGCAAAATATGTGCCATTGCCTTGCCAAACGAGTGGCAGTACGAGTAGTCTTAGGCAGGGGCTTTTATAGGACTAATTCGTGCAAGTGTAGGCCATTTTTGTGAGTTGGTGCCTGCCAAGGGTGGCAGCACCTTGCCTAACTCGAGATTTTCCTTTGTAATTTGATTTATTATAAAAGGTTGGGAAAGGGTTCCCGTAAATCTGTGTTGCCTTTGTTTTTCTTGTTGCCTTTAAATTATTCTAAGTGTTGAACCTCGGAACCAAACGAAAATTGGGTAAGGCTGAGGTCAAGTGGGGACTTGACTGCCGCACATCGGGCAGCATTTCGGCGGACAGAAATTGCCGGTGTGACACTAACCAACATATAAAACTATATTTAGCAACATTGTTTTTATTCTATATCCATCTTTTGTAAGGCCATTGATCCAACTTTTCTCTCCGCTACTCATATTCCTTCTTCACGATATACTTGTTGCTTTGATTAAGCCTCCATTCTGATAAAAACTAGGAGCAAACTTGGTCTTGATATCACATATTTTCTTCCAATACCATGCACAGCCTTGTAGTGGTTTGTATTGATACCATTATGTTCCTTTCAAATATATACGGTCTACCCATTTCACCCATAATGAGTCACTTTTCTGAGCTATATATTCCATACACATTTGGCTAGAGCAGCTTTATTCCATATCATGCAATCCAGTCTCCCCTTTTAGATCTCATGCTACCAGAGGGGTTTTATTTGTGATAGCTTTACCATCCCACAAGTAGTTTCTACAAATGGCCACAATACTTTTCATGCCTTCTTTGGTAAGATAAAGATCTTCTGCAATAACTTCTTTAGCCGGTTCAATTTACCCACAAATTTGTAGTCAGTGGTGGAGGTAGGATCTCCACGAAGGGGGTTCAAAAAAAAAATTTGTAGCTAGTGGGAATTAAACCCATGACCTTATGTAGATTTTGAACCTCCTTGACCACTAAACTATACTTTTGGATTATGTTAAGGGGGTTCAAAACTTAATATATAGAGGTAAAAAACAGATTTTGCCTTATATAAACTGTGTAATTTTTCGACGAAGGGTGAACCCCCTTGCGCCCCCCTAAATCCGCCCCTGATTGTAGGGCTATAATCAAATAGACCTTTCTGCATATAGGGTAATTCTGATACAAAAATGTGTTGCATTTTTATTAAGGGGTGTGAATGGGAAATGGAAGAGGCACCTTTGGATTGCACCTCTCCATCTCACCCTTCCTTTGTCTATAAATTTAGAGGCTTGACCTTATTATTGAGACATGGAAAATCTGAAATCTTCTCCCCTCTTTTCTATATTGTTGCATTATTTTCTAAATAAATATAAGTGTCAAGTGTGATTTGCTCCGTTTGTTGAGTTTGCTGAAGTTTTGTGATTTGAAGTGCCGCTATCACAGAATAGTTATTCCGTTCTATCTTGGGAGGAATTAATCCGTATACCTTGGGCAATAGTGAGAGGATTAAATTCCTTAAGGACACACTGTGTATTCAGTGAGCTCGAAATTATTTTTGCACTTTTTGTTCTAAGTTCTATTTTTCTGATTTTGAACACAGTAATACCAACAATCTTAAGGAATTTAATATTTATTTTCTGTGTTTGTCTTAACATCTATTTGTTGGAGACTAAACAAGAAAGAGAAAAATTCAGAGAGGAACTCATCAAGGAAGAAACTTTAAGATAAGTTTCAGATTTTATTTTTTTTGGGTTAATTTTTCTTGTTGGGGAAAAAGTTTCGTGATTTTCCAGTAAGTATTTCCATCACTGCAACAATTTTGATTTTGAATCTGCAAAGGAAAAGATTTTGGTTGTCTTTGTTTCCATGTCACCGTGATAACGGTGCAACGATTCGTGATTGAGGATGTTTCTACAAGGAAGAAATGTCATTGCAGAAACTCTCAATATACACCCAAGTCATGAAAGAAAATGGCATGACACTTGATCCTTTGGGTTGGCAATTACCAGTTGATGAACTTTCTGCCAAATTGGCAAAATTTAGTACCCGTTTCTAGAGCGTCGAAGTTTGAAAAATATTTTTCTTCGAACAGTCGCAATTTTGAAATCTATATGGAAATGTCACAGACGAAGTGATAGTGCCGTTTCTCTTTATTCAAACTAAAGAAATGGCACCAGATTCCTCTGAAAAAGAGAGAGTTATTAGAGGGCATAAATACTATTTCTTTATAGAGCATGTATCAATGGGTGGAAGCCTTACTTGCATCTTGAAATCGTGAGGGATTTTGGACTTGACCATTCACTTATCAGTAGTTTATGACTCAAAATTGTTCTCCCAAAGGAAAACTATATCGTCAACGGGGCGAACCAAAAAGAAAGTGGCAACAAATGAAAACCGGGTTCTGTTCTTCTTACTCTGGCTTATAATCTGTTTATTATTTCCTACTCTAGTAATTTATGATCGAGTTGCTACAAATATTAGAGTAGATGTTTATTATGTGATAATTTTATATATATAGAATTGTATGCATGAGCAGAAATAACATGCGTTTACCGTTAAGTTTGTTATTTCTTTGACCAAATGGAAAAGCTATTAGTTGTTGATATACAATTTGGTGGTATGCATGGTATCTTTAAGGTTGTAAGACATGAGTAAGGTAATACTTGAAAATATACTTTGAGATCATATAATATATAAAGATGGACATATATATATGTTTGATTAGAGAAAGAGGTCAAACTAGTTAAAGTGTTGTAATGGTTTAGTTGAAAAACCATTTGGAAAGGGAATTAAAATTCTTGTAATTTTCTACGCCCATTATGGAGAATAAAATCTTCATGATTTTCTACTCCTACTTCGAGATCAAAATCTGCGTGATTTTTTACTCGTTCGTTGAGATTAAAGTCTTCGTGACTTTCTACTCATTTGTCGGAAATTAAAGTCTAAGTGACTTTATACTCGTTTTGGAGATTAAAATCTTAGTGATATTCTACTCCAATTTATTATTCGGTTTGAAGATTAAAAACTTCACAGTTTATTAAATTTAATAGTGTCACATATTATTCTGTTTGAAGATTAAAAACTTAACCGTGTATTAGATCTAGTTGTATCAGATGTTACTCGATTTGAAGATTAAAAACTTCACCGTGTATTAATTCTGAATGTGTCAGATTGGTTTGAAGATTAAAAACTTCATCATTTATTAAGTCTAACTCTATCGTGACACAAACAATTGTTCTTGTGGTTGGCTCAACAATGTAATAGGGGCGTCGAATATGAATCTCCTTTTGAAGAAATATGTTTGGAATGTGGTATTATTTATCAAACGACGGCCCCTTAGTCACCGCAATCTAATGGAATTGCGGAAAGAAAGAGTAAAACATTAA